AAATATTTGCTTAGTATTATTAGGCTTTGTGAGTTAATTAACAGGGCCCGAGCCCAACTCAATACTTTATTAAGCCTAACCTGGGCCCAACTTGTTTATAGTAGACCTAAAATTGGGCCCAATATGAATCCAAACCTGACCTAACTCACAAAATCTTGGGTTGAACCTGGACCATTTTGCATTCTAATATTTCACTTCATGTTTTGCTTCATATTTTGCTTTATATTGTGCTTCATATTCACTTTATATTTTGCTTCATATGAAAAAAAGACAACAATAATTATAATAATAATACAAACTGATTTGTTCAACTTGTCTAATTTACCTACTCCACTCCAAAAACATACTTGTATTTAATAATACTTATAAAATAATAAATCATTTTTAACTTGAACTAATAGTTAAATTTGAAAAAATAAATATTGGGCAGCTTAATGTGGATTTATATATAGATTTTTATAGCAAATAAGGTAGTTAAGCGAATTTCAAAAAATGTCAAAGACCACATGCATCTAAGAAAAATTATGAAAAAAAGCTAAATCTTTATTAGGCCACACCAAGCTGATTATTTGTTTAACATAACTTCCCCTCTAATTTTGAAAATTTTATATAAATATAATACATGATATTAACCAATCAAATTGCAGCATTAGTTTTTTAAATTTTTTAAATTATTTCAGCTAATAAAATTGCAGTGATTTTTTTATTTTTTATTTTTTTTTACTCCCCCCCATAAAATATTTTATGTTATGTTAAACAAAGAATCTGCTTGGAGTGGCCTTATTGGAAGGACTGGGCTGCTTATCTCTATTGATGAAATTCTACCATAAAGGCTGAATCATTACGAAGTGGAGCAAAAATTTGAGTACAACAAATGAAGAAAGTGTAAAATGTCAACCTGACTATAATGAAAACACATAAAAAAAAAAAGTATTTTATTGAAAAACATTAACACGAGCAAACAAAGTTGATAATAATGTAAAAATTTTCAAATGTTCATAAATATATATATATTATCATGTGTTGTAATATTTGCGCGAAATACATAATCAATGAAAAGAAATATGTAAAATAAACTGCTAAATCAAACTATAAAAATTCTCTGAATATTCATTCCGGACTATCACATGATCCGGAGCAGCAACTGGTACACATTTTCGGAGTGCTTATATTTCATTCTTTAAGAATCAGATTGTTGAGAAATTAGTTTGACCGGAAAAAATGCATTTGTGAAAACTTCTATCAGCGCAACGGGTTTCCAGAGATATGCTTTGTGGTTACCAGTACTATGGGGTCAGAGAAATAATACTTTGAGAAATAGATATCGGGAGATTGAGCAAGTTCGTTATTATTGAATTTTATTTGTGTTAACATTACACAGAAATTTTTAACGCATCCCTCGGGACCACAGACAAATTTTGGAAAATATACATCTATATAAATGCATTGTCTTTAATAAGTGATATAAATTAATATTAACTTAATGAGCTTGTAACCAAAATTACATATAGTAAAACAACAAGCACGTCAGTTTAGATATTTTTAAAAAATAAATTAGCCTTTCAGAAATTAATTAGGGATGAACATAAGGCATTTACTTATTATCGATAATCTTGCAAAGTTGGATAGTGTAATGGAAAAATAATGTGTATACTATCATAGAAAATAGAATTGGAATTTAAAAGGATGAACATAAGGCATTTATTTATTATTAAAAATCTGAAATATGGGTGATGCTGAGAGAATGTAATAAGCCGAACATTGGTATCTTTATGGAAACGGTGTTGAAAAAAATGGTCAAAAAAGCATTTATTTATTATGAAAAATCTGCCTATGTGGGAATTTAACTGGAATTTCTCAAAATTTTGTATATAAATTCAAATTTGATATTCTAAGAAAAAAAATTTGGCATATGTAATATGGGATCACAGATTAGAATTTTATACTAGTTAATCCTGAAATCTTTATTTTAAAGTTTTCAAAAAAGAGGTGGAATTTTTATATGGGACGTTCAATTGCGAATTGAACATGGTTGACGTATAGTCAACCAGTCCATTTTGTGACCCCAACAATTTTAATATATTAGCCTTCGCTGTTCGGTGTCAAGTTATGCTTAAATGTTGTCCGAGTTTCCAGAATGACGACACTGGTATAAGAACTATTAGAAGTAGGGTGGAATATCAGAGTGCTTATAGACATTATGTTAGTACTGCGCAATAATAAAATCTATATAGATTATTTGAGTGTAGAGTATGAGTATTTATCCAGCAAACTCATATGATCATGAAAAAATTTCTTTTTGTTATTTTTTTTCATGTGTTACGATATAATTATGTTTATTCTAATATTCAAATTAATAACTCAGCGAGTGACATGTATACTTATTTAATAATTCGACGTGAATAGTTATTTGATGATAAGAAAAAATAAGAATAGATCTTGATTTGCATAAGATAGTAATTGTAACAATTAATGGCTATTATAAAAATGTAAAAAAGTAATATTGTTTAACGACAAGTCTAAAAATGAATTACGTAATTACTGTCGTGGTCGATTTTGTTGCTCCGGAAATTCGTAGCGCAAGGGTCAGGTATCGGATCGAGATTTGCATAAATGGTGTGATTCGGGTTTGCATAAAATTAATTAAAAGTCTGAATAATGATTGCATGGGCGATGGGAAAGTATGTAATAATCAGTGACGCATTAGTAATTAACATAGGGTATCGATCCCAAAGGGGAAAGTACGAAGCTTTGAACTTTGCGAAGTTTACTTAGTGTAAAACGACCTTAGTGAATAAACTGATATCTGTGTGTGTATATCGTCGGTGGAAGGACCTATGACTATCCGATACACGGTCATCGAATAAATTAGCCAAGTGAGTAAAGACTCAGTAAAAGCCAAGAAGTACACAGTAGTCCAGTAAACTCCGTGACAATTAGAAATAGTTAACTAGTAATTGATAATGTATTAAATTATATCTTGCTTGTCAAATATTATTATTCTTATGTTCAAAAGTGAGAAATCACTTCCAATTTGTGATATCAACAGTTCCTCTTCAACATTTTATAATTTGGATTTTATTAGGAACTATTTCTTTAAATTTCTTTAAAATCAAAGAAAAATTTTGCCTAAAATTTATTTAGAATGAACTTTAGTCCAAAAACTGACCATAAAGAAGTGAGTGTAATGAATTAATCATTATTACCGCACGGGTTTATTAACCTTTGCATCATTTCTGCAATAGAGTCTAACAAAAACCTGGTTAATGAAAAAATTTTATCATCTAATATATATGTTGCAAGATCTTTTTTTTTTACTATATCGTTTATTTTCAACAATATATTTATTTTTATTGATATCATCTTAAGTGGCATTGGTTGGTAAAGCAAAAATTTCGTGTTTGGTATTGCATCTGGTTTTTTTAAACATAAATCGCTACAGCCATGAAAAGTAAAGAAAGAATAATAGTCAAAGTAAGTTTCATATTATTTACTTTGTTTATTTCATAGTAAGGATTTTTAAATTCAGAATTAATTAAGGTTAAAGAGTAAGCATAGATATTAGAAGAATTATAGTTGGTTTAATTAATGTAAAAACATAAAGTATTTATATAGCATCTAGAAGATCATACATTCAGATAAAACACTTTTGAAATCAATATACAATTAATCTTAAGCGAAAATCTTAAATAAATTTTTTTTTTTTGATAAAATGTAAAAGTGGTTTACAAGCACTTCACACTATATAGTGATTGCATTCATATAGTCGTATTATTTCCAAAAGTGCTGATATTAAACTATTTTGAATGATCTTTATTGATATATATTAGTGCAATCGATGTACGTATAAACCGAGGGGATATTTTCTCAGGAATAGTAACTACAATTGCGCCGGATATCATAGTATCAGTTGAATTCGCAGTGCGTAACGCACCAGCATAGACATAAAATTGTCAGACTTTTATATGATGTTTTAAGATACAAAAGATGGCAGAACTTTCCACTTGGATTCTGTAAATTTGCTCCTTGTGAGCAGTTAGTAGCTGGTTTTCATGTAACGAACCTTCATATGCTGACAATGAAGATACATTAGCAATTGCATCATATTCCAACTTAAACAATTAATTAAATTATACTTGTTTGACAGTATGTGCCTAAAGCAGATGAATCTTTCAGTTCCAGGCTGGGTTTAATACTAACCTAGACTAGATCATAAACATTCTTAATTTGATATATGTATTCGCTTTTTTTTAAAAAAAATATGTATATTTCTAAATTAAATTCTTTTTATGATAAATAAATTTTTTAGATAAAATAAATTCATTTATTATGAAGTCTCCTATGAGATTAAAGTTCCCAAAGGCACGAAAATAGTAGATTGCGAAAGAAAATCTGATTTTCTTGGACACACTACATTCTCAGATTTAGTAACTAATATAATATGGTTAGTTTATTGATTTCGGATTAATTAATTAAAATTTTGCATCTGATTCATTAAGTAATGCTTGAGAACACTTTGCAATAAATGTATTGCAATTTTTTACTAAGGTATCATGCTCTGCTCTACTTTATATATCTTTATACGTAGGTTAAGGAAGTTTCAATAAAATTATTTATCAAAATAAAAAATCATAACTTTAAATCTATTATTTGCTAATATGATCGCATAAAATTCAGTAACCACTTAAGGTTTTCTTTAAAATTCGAACTCAGCTTTAAGTGGATTCTGAATCTACAGTTATTCCATATACATTTATAGCAAAAATATAAAAAAATAATAAGCCAATTTACTGTATAATCAAATCCTATAAAACAACATGTAGCAGTTCTGCTTTAGGATTGATTTACATTGAAGAATTACATGAATCCACGAAATAAATTTTTATACACATAAACGGATAGATTTAAATAGAAATAACAAAGATAGGCCAATATAAGTATATTCCAATAAATTTTAAATGAAAATGGCAAATTATATAAAGATAAAAATTGATTTTTTCTTATTCATTCTTTTTCTCATCTTTTTTCTCACTATCTTTTTCTTCATCTTTTTTATCACTATCTTTTTCTTCTTCATCTTTAGGTTTAATGACTTTAGTGTCAACCTCCGGATCTTTATCTTCTGCTTTTTCATCTTCCTTTTTATCTTTCTTTTTAGGGAATTCTCCTGGATCTCCTTCCAATTTAATTCCTGCACATTTACTATAAATTCTTAATCCCAATTGTAATTCCCAATTTTCTTTCTTTTCATCATCATCATCATCCTCATCATCATCATCTTCTTCTTCGTCATCGTTAGCGTCCAGCCCAAGTGAAAGCTTATTAATACGGTTTTCTTTACGTTTCCTAACCTCAATCTCTATATCTTTTATATTAACTACTTTGTCTGCACTTTCATCTTTATTTTCATCGGATTTTTTCTCCGGTTCAGGAATAGTTTCACGGGTTACGTGAGGAATAATTACGTAATCTCCAGCTGGAAGTTTAACTTCATGGTTTATGCTACGAGAAGCGAATGGAAATGTCGAACGACTACGGACTAAATAAGTTGAATCATCACCTTCTTTGAATACTCGGAAACTTAATTGATAACTTTTTATATCATATGAAATTATTAGATAATGAACAGAAAAATAATATAAAAACTTGATAATAAAAAAAAATACATACTCATATTTAGGATCATCACAAAAATATCTACTATCTGGTTGTTGAAGGATTATAATCAAATGACATTCTTCCGGTAAACTTAGCTTAAACTTTCCTTTAGATCTTGGTACAACATTGTAATTAATCCAAGTTATATAAGCCATCCAACTTGAATCAAATAATTTACACATGTCAATCATATCCCAATAATTAAGGAAATCATCATAACTCATCCAGAAAGTACCATCATCGCCAAACCGGTGATTTAATTTAATCATACGTTCGGGTGTCCATTCTTTACTTCCATCACTCCATGCACCTTTTTTTATAAGATTAATTAGTGAAAAAAAGAATGATAAAGAACCATGATCAAAATTTTCATTGACTTACCGGTCCATTCAGTTTTTCCCCATGGATTTCTCATTTGTAAAAGTTTAATACCGTCATCTGTTTCAGCTGTACGTAAAATACTATAAGCATGATTGCTAATAGTTCCTTTTAAATCTTTAATATCTGTATCACTAGATTCAAATCTAGCACATCCTAGTAATAAACGTTTTTTAATATATCATTCCAAAATTTATCTTTATCTAGAATGTCGGTGGTGAATAACAGTGTATAGACACCGCCTGTTATATCTTCTATTCCTATTTAAAAAAATCGAGAAGAGGGAATTTTTTTAATTAAGTGTTTAAAATGATGAATAATACTGTTTGTGAATATTACTTATACCTTCGCCAGTCCAACCTCCTACAATGCTTTCGTAATCACCATGGATTTTTTTCAATTATTGGTAACCAAGTTTCATTTTCATTCGAACAATGACTAATAATTGAATAATTTTTAACAAAGATCGAAAAGTTAAAGTAATAACTCTATAATTATGAAAATCATAAATTAACACTTACGCAAAAGTTAATTGAAAATTTTCTTTATCATCTTTACCAGTTGTAAAGAGTTGATCATCAACGACAGTTGAAACCCAATCACCATCCTATTATAAAATATGTAATTATTATACAGTATATTCTTTTCTTTATTTACATTAAGTTTTTACTTAAAGCATAATTAGTATATGTACCTTAAAAAAAATAAATCCATAAACTCCAATTTCTTCATCTCTAGCAACACAGATAGTTTCTAATAATTTTGGAATATTCGTAATGACGGCCAATGAAGCTACAAACCAACAATCGCCAACACCTCCTTGTTTAATATCATTTGGCTCAACACCGTCAATGAAAAACTGTGGCTGTTTACAAATGCTATTGACACGTTTTATGTTGGTAGCGTTAAATTTCTCTGTTTTCTTATTATAAAGGCAATCATCCTTATTTACAAATAAATCGAATTCACGATCTCGAAATCTTCGATTTTGTTCACGACATTCATGTGATATCTTATTATTTCAAAATAATAATTTATGTAAACCAAAAAGAAGTGATACAAATTTCAATCATTATTAATAAGTAAATCAAATTAATATATGTACTTTAGCAATTTTCTCTTTGGTCTGTTGAATAGCATATTCCAAACTATAAGTAACAGCAAAGACAGTGGTTTCATGATTAGCACTAAGTTTTTGTAATTGTCTTTTATTTCTGGCTTTTTTATTCTTTTTAATAGTACCAGATGAAAGTTTATTCATTTTTATTTAGTAATCAATAAAATAATCGACAAAAAGGTAAATTTGTGTAGGTGAAAAATTTTTTATCTTTATATAATTAACAATATTTTGGTTTTTGTTTTGTGTTCAAAACCTTATGGTCTCATTATGTCTACGTATATACTTTTTAATTAATGAACTAGGCGGAGTTTTTTTTTTTTTCTTATTATGATTAGCTTTTGGTGTTACGCTGAATTACTTTTCGGGAAATTAGCATATATTTTTGAAAATTGATTTTCTTCAAGTTAGCTACTTTTGGTAAATCTGGGTTTCATTCAAGTTGACATGTAGTCAACAGATCGAAAAGATGGCTAAGCAGAGATGCGATGCTTACCAGTCACGGGAACGCAGCTGAATTTGAGTCATGCGCCTGTAGACGTAACTCCGGGCAGCGCAGCAAAATGGCGTCAGGAGGAAATAAAGAAAGCCAGACATGACGTTCTATCAACTTCTGGATCCGGTAACTATGATGTACCGGGCAGTGCAAAGGTACATCATGGGAAAATACGATGAAGAAATCTCCTGCTCCCGAACAAGATCGACCGAGTTCATAGATAAGTATGATGGTATATATAGTTATGCAACTACATGCGTGTTCAACATCTAAATGAATTGCCAAACATTCCGTTTGCACCCTGTCCCACCCTCCCAGGAATACATTCCTCGTAGAATTACTACGGAAAAAAAAAAAAAATCTTTCCGGACCGAATATTCCCAGCATATCAAGTGGGAATGGTTCGAATCCTGCCATTTTGGTGGCAACTGCTTATTTCATTTGTAGGCCGGCCTGCGTTACGCAGGCGGGAAACCACCGGCGCAATCTTGATTGCCTTTTTCCGGGCGCATATCCCGTTCAATTTATTTGTTACATCAATCGCAACTGATGTATGCGTTCTTTAAATAAAAATAAATTTCCGGTACATCACGCCGGACTTATTCCAAATTATATCACATGCGTGCAATGCTTTTCGAAAATTTGAACCGATTGTAAGATACTCTATCTATATATATCTCTATATCTCTATATTAGCGTTAGCAAGAGCAGCGCTTCGAAGCACTGCGCTGCGCTAGTGAAAAAAAAAAAATCTCACAATTTGCATACAATGAAATTACCAATTTAGAAAATGATCCGAATAAATTATCCATTATTATCTTAATTTGTTTGAAATTATGTTTCTAGAATTATACATAAATGGTAAAAATATATATTATTTATACGTACCAAAACTGACTGATGAATTTTTTTTTATCATTTTTGCCATTACACTTTACGGCAGGTTTCATGATTTTTGAAACACTTAAATTTGCTTAATGATTTTTTTAAAAGATTTTTGATTAAGTGTATTCTCAAGCATCCCAATCAATCAACTAAATAATAATCATGGTAACACTCAAACATCACAATTAATAACGCTTGAGCGTACTCTTTTTATTTTTTATAATCTTCTCTACGCCTCCTAAAAACCTAATAAAAAATTTTTTTATTAAACTATCTGTTGAAGCTTCAACTTCGTTTCACTTACTTCACCTCTTCATGATTTTACCAATTAAATTTTTGTTGCAACAGTAACAGAATCAACTTATGCTTTGTGAAAACAAGTAAATTTTTTTAAAAATTTTTTTATAGGCTATCTATAGTAATTTTACATTTGCTACTTCGCACTAAAAGGTATCATAGGTAATACGAAAATATATTTTTCGAAAAAAGTTATAGCCTTCATTATCCGTTAAATATATATAGAAAAACATCAGCCTAAAATCCTTCAATTTTTGGGTCATCTTTGCTGAAAAATTATTAAATTTGGTGAATGAAAAATGAAATTATTATTCATTATAGTTTGATTAAAAGTTAAAAGATGGGTTGTATTTATTAAACTCAAAAAGTGCAAACCATTAGTATTGAACAACGAAAGAATTATTTAAAAAAAAATTTTTTTAATCGATATGTAAGCATTGCGAAAATAATATTTGAAAGGAATTTATTCTTAATTGCAGCACATTAGAGAAATTTTTAGCCACGCTGATCAGTAATGTAATTGGTTTCATCCAATGGAAAACGATATTTGTATTTGTCCAATAGGAAATTGGGGAGAAATTAGTAAACCCCAACAAAATTTAATAAAAATATAATTATAGGTTGTGTATTATTGCGACACTAGCTAATCACATCGAGAATGAGATTGAGGATGCCCTTAATATAATGTTAATAAACTAAAAAATTGTATAGCCATATTTTATATTTTATTAAATATAGCAAGGGTAGATAAGCTAAAGTTATAGATTGCTAACCAAATAACTAAAAAAGAGTACGTATACATTTGGCATCTTATTTTTTTTATAAAGAACCGAGAAGCAAAGCCACTGCTGATCTAGTTTACAAGTTCGAATCATGTTACAAAATTTTCTAATATTTCTTTTTTTTCTCACGATCATGATAATAATAAATCGATTACCACAGTCTTTCACTATGGACTTTCGCCAATGTCTTTGGCGATCAGTGATTATCAATTCATCATACCGTTAAAAAAATCCGATAAAAAAAAAAAAGAAAATGACTAAGAAAGTTATAAAACAGAAGGCTGAACATATTCGTGTCAACATCTAAAAGATGTTTTCTATCATTATTCATAAGGTATCTTAAACGGGACACAATTATTTTTTCTTTCGCTATCATGATCATGATCATGTAATATATGTGTGTTGCCAAAAGAAAACCTGACAATTTAAATATAGACTTATTTAAATTGTCGGTTTTTCTTTTGGCGACAGTATACAAAATGGCAGGAGTAAATATTTCCTTTTCTAGGTTTTAGATGGAAATCTTTTATGTTGATCTCTGCATGAAAAAACACGACAACCAAAATAAAACGATCATTACATATTACTTACACAACTACATATGGTAGGTCACGATGGTCTGTCCAAAATTATAAACGATCAAGCCACAAGTGTGAATAGCGTCGCGGTTATTTTAGGCTCTTATATGTAATTGGGCCCGTATTTGTAATTATTTTCACTTTCCGAGCCCTTATTTGTAAATTCCCCTAAGAATTAATCTTGCTCCGGGTTATCATATAATTCTTAAAATCCGATTTCAAATTGGAGTTCGCTTTGGGATATGTTACTCCAGTAAAAACCCTAAGTGTTAGAATTAGGTGATAATATGGTTTAGGTCGATTTGTTAGTGCTATAAATTCACCGACATGATGAATTTACTGATAAAATTTCGATATAATGAAATTTTAAAAAGTTTTACCAACAGATCATTATGACGAATGATTTGTGAGATTCAAATACAAATTCTTGGAAGAAAACATTTATTATAAAACGCACCTATCATATGTTTAATTATGTTTTTTTTGTATTTTTCTAAGTTTCGAATATAAAAATTTTCAATGTAAAGTTTTCACGATAGTGTTAGTATTTAGGATTAGAGTTGGTATTTGGGAAAGGGTTTTCAGGGGCGTAGAGAATTTTACTTAGGACATCTTGAATTGATCAATTAGCCAGTTTTTTGAGATAATATATACATAAGTGTAAAATACCATATGCGCGTCTTAGCAAAAGTCAAAGAAAATATTTCATTCATTTAAGAAACATATAATACATTATAAAATTAAAGTTTATTGGTTGGACGCGTTCGCCTCAAATTGTTCATGTTTCTGAATTTCCATGTAAATGTCTCTTAAAGTGGCTAATACTTCTTTTTTAATATGGAAGTATACTAAACGTGTCGGTTCTTACAAATACTGTATTAAATTCTTCAAGTTCTTTTCATGTAATAAACTACAATAAATTGCTAAACCAAGTAAGGTGAAAAATAATTGGCGACGACTCATTTACCTTGTTGTTATATAATCATGATGAATACGTGGTGCTTGTTCTCCAACTAATAATTTTATGATAACATGCTTTACTTACAGCACAGTATTTGATATGCAAAAAATGTGAACAGCTTAATATTAATTTATAGATCATAAGAAAAATTTCAGAATACAATCTGAATCTGATAATCTGCACGTTATCTCTCGCGTGTTGATGAGTTTGCTGGTGTACATGCTATTCGGATGTTTTAATGCTTCTATATTAAATTTAATTTTATCGAATTCAAGAATTTGTTTTTGATTTCATTATCATCATTCTGTTTCATCTCGTCAAGCCAATGTCCAATTTTGTGAGCAATAACAGTTGCTATAGGTCGATTATTCTGATCCTGATCCATACATCTTTTAGCCAATTTAACGTAACAATCAGGTGTCCCCTCATCAAATTCTGGTCTTTTTCCCAGACAAATTTCTAGCGCAAGATCAATATTAAAAGATTCACCGTCAAATACTCTTCTTTCCGTTGATATTTCAGACATGATGACTCCAAAGCTATATATATCAGCCGCCTGTGTAAAATGCTTGCCCATTAGAACTTCAGGTGCTAAGTATGGCATAACTCCTTTAATTTCACCTTCTTGTTCCACATCAGACGATGTCGAAATTCCCAAATCTGTAATGTACGCATTATTTAAATTTCGATTTTGCAAGATATTTCCAGAATGTAAATCTCGATGAATTAATTCTTGAGAATGGATTGATTCAAGATCTGATGCGATGCAATATAACAAATTCAACTTATCTTTCCATTCCATTTTTGCTACTGAACAAAGATTTTGACGCAATGAGCCCTTACTCGCATAATCCATAACGATTATATAATCTTTTGAGGTATCATCACTTGATATTCCATAACATCTTAAGAAGGATGGATTTTCGTATCTGATCTCACAATATTTTTTCAACTACAATATTATTAAAACAAACGTTAATATTGCTTTAATAACAAAACATTAATTATATTAATATTACCTCATTGACAAATTCATGATTACATTCTTTTGAATCATGAATCAATTTAAGCGCAATAGGTATCCAAGAACTTGTATTTTTATCGTGCCAATAAGCATAATATACGGTAGAGAATCCACCTTTTCC